GAGTTACGGGTGAGGGTTGTAACCGGTCTATGTATTCGTAAGGCGTGTTACTAATCATGGTTTAATAAACAATATAATAAATATATGAACCATATTACAAACAAATATAAATTCGTAATATATAACGGAACATTTTTCTAGTCTAACATTACACAAAAAAAGAGCACAAAACGGTACACCTACAAAAAACGCAAAACACGTGCTGTCGAGTGGACGCTAGTCTCGACGCGATTATCTCAAACTCAATAGCCTTCTTCAAGGCAGAGGTGGTAATTTTCGGTTGCACTTGAAGGTGTTTACTGGTTCGTTTTAGCCATCGCATTTGTCCATTTCCCGATAGACTACGGTATTGCAAAATCGAAATTTGTGCTACATGTAATTCCTTCTGTACTCTGTTTTACGGCATTCTGCATTGTACTTTGTAAAATATTGCACTTTTAACAGTATCACGCATTGTATTTTTCTGCGAAAATATAACAGAAAATTCATTAGATCTTCAGACATATATGGAGTAAAAGAAGTACTCTGAGGACGGTCCGATCTGGTCCGAAACGTCACATGTTCGCAATTAAAGAACAAACATTTTATGTTTGTCATCCCGTTTGCACTTACTAAAAGGTTATATCATCTCCCGCATAAATAAATAATGCATTTTACAACATATATGCTTTTCTAGCCGCGCGTAATATCAAGCTGACATATCATTTCTAAAAGTCAGATATCATAAAGATGAGGTGTTCTTCCGTTTTAGCTGTGGAAGCCCTTGATGACACGATAGCAAAACTACAACTTCTGTAGCACGCCTTCAATCGAGGAAACCATGCCTGACCTACATCAGTAACAAAAAGGAACACACTGGCAAGGATACCCTTAAAACGTCATGTAGACTTCGCTTAGACTGTAAAGTACGCCCTGTGTTAACTGAAGTATCTGACAGCTGACCAAATAACTGAAAATTCCCGTGCTTCACACTAATTGATGAAAAGGAGACTACAGAAAGAACAGAAAATCACACAGAAACAGATTTAAAACATGTCATTTTATCTTCATCACACCAAATTAGCATCAAAGGTTAAGCAACGACTAAGCAACTCAAAAGGTACGCCGTAGAAGCACAAGAACGTCGAAGCGGCCAATGACAGACACCTGTTGTTTCGATAAGTAGGTTTTATAATATGATCAGGTATTTAGAAGGCCCTTGAAATCCGATATAACGGACTGACATCAGCTTGAAATTAGCAACATACCGCTTGAAGAAAATATATAAAATCTTCTGCATTACGGAAAAGCCAATTAAAAATGACCTAAACCTATTTAAAAAATAATTCTGGATGAGAATAATAAAGCCACAGATAAACAAAATTACGGTCAACGGCTGAACTATGAAACAACGTTCGCAACGCAAAGCAACAGATTTTTTGCAAAGATTCTGAAGCCATCAACTTTCACTCATAACTAAATTAAAAGGTGATTCGTCCATAAGTTTGGGTTTCGCAATTGACGTAGAAAAGTAACAAAGAAGTGGAAATTGTAATAGAGAAACGTTTAATTTTTTGACTGTTTGAAATGTTCGGGGGCAAAAATCCCAAAAATTATATGGGATTTGAGAGCATGCTTAGTTAGGGATGGTTTGATTTGCTTACTATCTAACGGTTCTTTCGTGAATTCCTAACATCCTGAATTTTATATTACTAACGTCATAAAATCCGGAGTGATTATTGAACAGAATTTGCCCTGTTCGTTTCGCAGCCAATTCATAGACGAAGATTGTTTGGCTGCGCCGTCCCAACCAGAAATAAACTGAAAGTCATTAAAATGTATGAAAAAGTTAAAACAAAACTATTTTCATATTTTCTGTGCTTCCAACCATAGAATCAAAATACCAGTGAGTTTCAAACTCTTCCTGCACCCTTATATTTACTACTAATTTCAAGACCGAGGGATAAAGGCAATGGAAATTACTTCCCAGGAACTGTTTAGTCAAATCGCTGAATTCTTAACGATGACGAAGTCAAATGCGCTCTAACAGCGTAAACAGTGTTGCCACTTTGTTGCAAAGCGGATTGCCACATGATATTTGCGGATTTTTTGGAACTGATTAGCTGAAATATTAACACGGAAAATATAGCACAAATAATAGGTTTTAGCGATTTAGATATTAGCAATGAGAATGTAGCAACTCACAATCAGTTGACTTACAGTAGGCGGAGGAAGGTCAACTGGACATTCCTTTTGCTTTCTGCCTAATTATTTCTTAAAGTATTCATTGAGAAGTTTTACAAAATTGAATTTTTCGGTTGTGTAAGATTCCAGCTACGTACCGGGATATCATCAAGTGCTTCGAAACAGGCATTGGGAAAGGTAGCTATTTTATGCTAACTGACGGGTCAGTGACCGGCAATTATCGCTGCAGTAAGGATTCTTGGTGTTGTTCAACTGCATGGTTCAATTATGAAAGACCCTAAGGCTGTAATTCGCTTAGATCCAGTTAATGGTTGATAAAATCAGCTCGATAAATACTCAATTCTAAATTAAAGAATTAGGTACCGCCAAATATACAAAACAGATCAGAAGATTTCGTCTGAAAACACAGATTGACTGTCTTAGAAGCAATTGGTTCATGCAGCAACTTCAATGTGACGAGCATTATCAAAGTTTGTCCTTGAGTACCATTGAAATTAGTTGCGGCTACAAAATTACCATTACGGCGAATTTTGGTTGATGGTGTATTAATTTCAATAAATTCCATTCTTTAGCAGCAATGCAACGAAAAGTCGAAATAATGCATAATGTCACAACAATAAAATACTTAGAAAATCAACCGAAAACAAAAAAATACACAAAGCGGAATATTCACAGACAGCGTGGTGCAGACTAAAGCAGTTCTGAGTGCATCCTTCCGA